TTTATGTTAAAAATAGTTTTACTTATTACAAAAATATTTTTGTGGATAATATAATAATACCATGCATACAAAGCATACGAACATGGTTATGAATTTATTTTGATACATATAATATCTAGTTATCAAATTGATACTTTGTTATACACTTTTTTTTTTATTAATTGTGTAGTGCTTATATAATATACAAACAAATTTCGTATAGAAGCAAGAATATATTTATTTTTTAATAAAAATATCAATGCATATTTGTATGATAATCTCGAAGTTGCCGAGAGGGCCTTCGTGATATATCTTCATTACTTGTCATGCCTGAGCGTGCGAAATGTCAGCTTTGTGATTAGTGAACTTTAATCGTAATTAATTTAAAACTATTATAGCCTCGACATTTTAGTATTAGACTTTTCATTTCAAAATTATCAAGAATCTACGATCAGCAGGTAGTATGTTAGGTTTGGAACACTCTTACACACACACACACACGCACGCGCGCGTGTATAATACATTATCGTATTTGTGTTGTAGTTTAAGAGTCGTGGAATTACTGTACAGTGCACGAGAAGATTGGGTAGCAGTATGCGAGTGCATGATCTTGGAGCCATTAAGACATCACGATGTGTGGCCTTGGCTCGAGCATCTGCCGGCTGCTTCGTTAGATCAAGTTATATCGGTTCACACTTCAACTCTTTTGATGATCAATGCGAATCAGTTTGCTACGATTGTTGCAACACGATTGCAAAACAAGATTGATGCAATACTACAGAGTCTTACCGATAATTTAAGCTTAGAATATAAGCTGTTTGGAGCGTTGTATCAAATCGCGCAATACAAGGAGGAGGATATTTCTTTGGAATTAACAACTGAACACTTGGAGAGATATTTAGCATTAATGTGTGAATTGGAGCCGGCACGCGTAGTTGTTCACTTGCACAGAGCACACGGGTGCAGGTTGGATGAGGCGTTAAAGATTGTCCAAAAATGGAATTGTAAAGATGCAGAGGCGGTTATGCTAGAGAAGCTTGGTAATTACCAGGAAGCGTTTGATCTTTTGTTGAAAGAGTTTGAGAATCGGCTGGAGATGTACCGGCAAGATAAAACTTCGGAAAGCGAAACGGTGCACGCTGCCATTCAACTCGCAGGAATATGTCGGAGATCTGCAGGGAATCTTGATTGGATGCCCCTAGTGGAAGTTATGTTTCGATCGCATTCAGAGAATAACAGGCAGAAAGTGGATATATTGAACGGCAAATTGTTGAGATTAATTCTGGAATCTCTGAGCGGTACATCGATATTGTCGAACATATTGGAACAAATCCTGAGAAATCCGTCAGCAACGAGCGGAACGATGGGTGATATACGGCAACTGCTGTCCGGAGTCCTTACTCAATCGCGATATGAGCAAACTTTGGTCGAAACTACTGCTCGATTAGTGAGTTTGGAGCTTCATAAGGCTCTAGAAACATCCTTGAGGTATCTTGAAAATTCTGATGATATACGAGATATATTCATTCTTAAGGCTTGTGTTTACTTATCATTATTATCTTATTAGATTGTCAAAAGCGAGAAAATACAGGATAAAAATTTTTGCAAATTTGAATAAAAACATTTGTAATCAATGGAATAATTTATTAGAAACTATCTTCTTGTTTCGAAAAATTAAAAATCATACTTATTTTTATATATTATTAATTTGAGATAATTTATCATAACTGCGGAACATAGCTTATTTAATTTTTGATTATATAGGGTGTTTGGAAAATAATGATACATCTTTCACATAGAGGCAGAATGGACTAAACTGAGAAGAAAAGTCTTCTACCATTTTACAATTTTCGCAATAGTTAACAGGATATTAATTACTAAGAATTACCGAAAATTGGTCTTCAATAATTTTTTACTCAAATACTTTACAGAAAAACTATAAGAGACGAAAATTGTTTATTTTCTTCTCATAGAACTCTATGAATTTGTTTAGAATTTTTAATCAACTTTTTAGTACTGCAATTTCTCATTTTTACCAACATGAAAAAATATGGTATTAAAAAATTCTGAAAAAATTCTTAGAGCTCTACTGCGTTCGCGAGATACAGATTACAAAAACCATCTATTGGAAAAATAATGGATTTCTTTTTACTACACCTAATATTAATATCTATTGCGAAAATTGCAAAATGATAGAGGACTTTTCTTTTCAGTTTAGTCTATTTTGTCTCTATGTAAAAGATTTATCATTATTTTCCTGTATATGCATAATTAATTTTTAGATATATGGCTATTTAATTAATGAAACAAAAAGAAAGTTTTCGGTGTTTTACAAGTTGTTTCTATCGTTTTAAATGTTGAAACATATTTTCATATTAATATAGTGTGCAAAAGTTTTGATTGTATATATTTTCTTGCTTCCGACATAATCTGAGTAGTAGTGATGAGTGAATCGGAGCTTTAATAAAGTGCGGAAGTCCGCAAAGCTTCACGATGAACTTCATCGAATAGTTTAAGATGCAAGATTTTCTTGGTAATAATAAAGCACAAGGAAAGATTTCTAAATTAAGTGATGAAAAGCATGTAAAATCAAAGAGGTTTATCGTGAAACAGACTTGCTGGAATGTTATTTATATATATATATATATATCAATCAATTATATGCAGCGATTTTTTTTATCATTCAGGGATGCTGGTAGAGCATGCAGCAACGTTTCTATAACTTGCCCTGTGTGCAGACAGCCATTGTCGCATTGTTCTGATCACGTGGTGGTATTTGGCTGTGGTCATGGATATCATTTAACATGTCTGGGCGAGCCTAAGTCGTGTTACAAATGCTTGAATACAAAAGGATGGGCGCCCATCGCTACCAACGTTGCGCACACTGTTGCGCAGCCGCCACTGGTTAGTTGTAACAGCAATGTATCTTCTCGTTATTTTTCATTTTATATACAGGAATACTATTTTGTTTACTTCTATTTTATAGAGAAAGAAACAACTTCTTCCGCCAGAATTTTTACATCACAAAGATCTTGTATTAAGACTGGCCCCATCTTGTTCTATTCCTGATCTTGAGGGTATCTTTTAAATCTAGTCTTCAACTATCAAGAATGATAATCGCGTTTGTGGAAAGTATGTAGTATTTTTAAGATACCAAAATGAATGTGTACAATGTACTATGCATATATTATGGATAATCCACATATTGTTTAGTATCAGAGCAAGAGATTAAGTTCTTTCCTTGAGATTTGATGCGCATTAATGTTTATGACGTTGCCAAATATAAATTATTGAAATACATTTATTATATATATTGTTTATATAACATTATATTATTCTCTTCCATTATAACGTGTAACTTCGTACATTTATATTGTTTCCTCGACTATCATTGATGGATCCATTTTGTGTTTTATTTTAATAATGAAAACTGGTTTCCTAGGTACATTATCTGCTAAAACGCAACACGGATCTATAGGTTCGTCGTCAAGTAACTCACCGGTGAGAAGTTTTGCAACAATTGGAAAAACGTCCAATTTTGGACATTTAGATTTATCGATTGGTGATATATTAATATTTGAGACATATGTGTCTACATCAGATTCTAGTTTAACAAGGAATGGATTCAACTTCAGTATAGCTATATATTGTCGTAACTGCAAATCAAAAAGGATCACTAATATAATTTGCTTATAGAAGATTCTATAAGCCTGTACACATTTTGCACATTTTTCTTATAATATGTAATGATGTATTAAATGTTAAAAGTAGTAAATACGTGCCTTATCATCAGATTTTTCGAGATTACATAATAAATCTTCAGTTTCATTTAACAAAACATAACACTTCGCAAGATATTCACGACTGTATTTGGTCTTATGGGTGTGCAACAACTCCCTTGTTAAAGATTTCTCCCTTTTTATTTTTTCAAGGAGCAATGACAATGGTATTCCCGATAGCGTACGACTACCCACTTGTATCTTGGAACATTTTTCACAGACCTGTATAATTCATGCGTTAATCCTGTAAATATTTATACAAAAAATCCATAAATATAAAATATAGAAGCTTTACCTGCTTATTAATAGAGTTCCATGAACCAACAATCCTGTTTATAAATTGCTTAAAGTCGCTCGTGGAGGTGTAGTTCTCAGATAAATATAATAACGACTGGAGTTTATCTGTCAGATTGCACAACAGTTTACGAAACAACTCGAATTTGTCATAAAATTCAAGAGTTACGTCTGGACCGTGACCTTCCGACTTGAGAATGTTCACCTATATAAAAAAATGTATCCATCGTATGTGTAAAATTCGTTTGACTGCATATAATTTTGAAACATTTAAAAATGAAACGTATTCGTGTGTTCCGATGTTTATATATAAACTCACATTCTTTTCGAGAATTTGTACAATGTCATGAGTCGATATGTCGTCGGTCGTCATGATGATTGTTTATAGAAATTATTTCAGGTATACCTTGTTAAACTGTTAAACTTATTTCCATGGCCAACTCGACATCATCCGAAACGCGATAGTCCTTTTTTCAGAAGATAGATATATTCAGTTTGTTTCTTTTTATTGATTGTTGGCTTATATAAACGACATTGTTGTTTTTCTTTCGTACACATGGGGATACAACTTCGGATGAGAAAGCATTTGTATTCTCGCGTGTACATACATGTAGTACGTACATACATAAATTTGATGGTGATTTGCTTGCATAGCATAGCAGTCACTTTATAACATCGTGTATTAATTTCATTGATATGACATCTTTACGTTCCGTTAACATTCCTGTTTTTTCATTCGATAATGATGTAATGAGATATGAGATGAGATAATTGAGAATTGACTTCTTCACGGATCGCTTAAAAAATTAACTTATAGCTTTGTAATTTTAATCGCTAATAGCGATTTCTTAACGTTATAAGTGCTCCTGGACTATATTATAAGTAATGTACATGTTACATATTCGGTATTATTATTATTATTATTATTATTATTATATATAACTATGTTATTTAGTTATACACAATTATTTTAATAATTGCAGTAGAAACATATTTAAATTCATATTTAAATTCGCGTTTACTGATAGAGGAGTATGTGCTATTGTAATTTATAGTAACAAAAAGTAGCGCGACACTGCCATCAAACGTACTAATTGCTAATCTGCGCCTTTTATTTCGAAACGCCCCAACAAACATTATTATAACTCTAGTCGTTTTCGTAGAATGACTATCTCCCTTAACATTGCTTCTCACAGGGGGGAAGAGTACCTCTACACACAAAAAAAAGAGGACGGATTATTATATATATATTACATATATGCAATTTAATTTATTATAAATACTTTACTTTTTTTAAAAGATATAGAATAAGTTACTTCTATATTACTTAAATTTCATGTAGAAGTTTAATATAAAAGCATTTGTCTAATTTTTTTCTTTCTTTTTTATATTGCAAGATTATTTATCACCATATATTGCCAATAAAATTTCTCTTACTATTTTATCACTGATTACAAGAGGAATAAAATACAATAAGTGGAGAAGTTTATATGATACTTTAGATAAGGAATAATTTAATAACAAATTAATTTTTGTATTTACTAAATGTGTAATTTCGAATTTCTAATTAATTTAGATTTAATTATAATTTTTTTAGGTTTTATATATATATATATATATATAAAATTGGGTCATCTAAAAAGTATCCGCGATTTTTTGTCACTAGATGGTGTTGATCATCAATACTATCTAGTGACAAAAAACCGCGGATACTTTTTAGATGACCCAATATATATAATTTTATATTAATTTTTTTCCTAAAAATTAACTGTATATCCACAAATTAACTGTAATATCCACATTCTAGCAAGCTGCATTAAATAATAATTGTATAATCAATTTAATTTATATTTATCGGTGTATATAAGCTTATTTTGCGAAAATCTCATGAAATTTTAATGGTGACATACGTTTTAAAATTATTGTTAGTTATTTGTATATCAATGATTAGAAACAAAAATTATAACAATTATATGTATAACCGCTCGATTGTTTAACACAGCAAAAAAATCAAAAGCAATGATTAATAAACGAGCAAAATATTAGAATAACAATAAATTAATATATATTTGAAATTCAGCCTCCAATAAAATTGCATGTACAAAATACATTAAAACGTTTCGACTCACAGTCTTCTTCAGTTACAATAAGAAATTATTCTAGCATTATCCTAATAGCAAACAATAAAAATCGATGGAAACTTATGTCGTAATTGTACCGCAACACACCCAAGTATTGGCACACTATGTCCGTCAAGACATAAAAAATTATAACTAAACCCTCGTTTAATAGCGAAAATCACGTTAAGTCCATCAGAATGAAGTCAATGGTATAAAATAATTTAGATCGAAATAATTATATTAAAAATTGTGTAAAAAAGAAAAAGAATGTATGTATATAGTAGCCATGTAACTTACAGTCATGGTATAAAACATTTGACACATAACTGTCTGGCAGTGATAATATTGATGCTATTGCTCTTATCGAAATCCTGAGATGAACTGACGAGCAATAACACACATTAAATATGATGTAAGCAAAAACAATGAATAATTATGATACTATTTAGCTTATTTTAAAAGTAAATTCTAAAGACGATAATTAGTTGATTGTAGATATATAATATTGTTTTTACTCACGTCATATATAATGTTATTGCTCGTTGACCTCAGGTCATCTCAGGATTTCGATAAGAGCGATAACACCAATATCATTGCCAGACAGTTATGTGTCAAATGTTTCACACCTGTAAGTGACTATAAGTTACATGACTACTGATATAGGATGATATAGGATGTCCCATTTTAATGCCCTTCTTCAAATAACTTTATTTTTGATTTTAGAAAAAAAATATTTCAGACAAAAATTATATAACTTTGAGGGGGATATAAGATGGTATCATTAGTTTGACCTTGAAGGTCACGTGGCTATCTTTAATTTCTTAAATGGAACCCCCTACTTTTTATTGCACATTCTTGTAGATCATCTCGAGAGCTTTCCAAACACTGTAATTAAGTTCATTTAACTTTTCGAGTTATAAGGCTTGCAAGTAACAGCACCACTGGCAAGGTGTCCGACCGACGGACTTTCGTTTGAAACATTTTTTTTTCTAAAATAAAAAATAAAGTTATTTGAGGTGGGATATTAAAATGGGACACTCTGTATAAATTCTTTTTTTTTACACAATTTTTAATATATCTCGATCTAGATTATTTTATATCATTGATTTCATTCTGATGGATTTAATGTGATTTTCGCTGTTAAACAAGGGTTATAATTTTTGATATCTTGACTTTTTATGGACATGGTATACCAATACTTCGGTGTGTTGCGGTACAATTATGACATTAAGTTTCCATTGACTTTTATTTACGATTAGAATGCTAGGATAATTTCTTATTGTAACTAAAGAAGATTGTGAGTCGAAATGTTTTAATATATTTTGTGTGTGCAATTTTATTGAGGCTGAATCTCAAATATATATTAATTTACTGTTAATCTAACATCTTATTTTGCTCATTTATTACTTTTGAAAGTTATTACTTTTGAAGAAAATTATAATTTTCTATAATAATTTATATTGAACACAAAATGGTATGTATAGTTGATGATACTCGTCCCCCATGAATCGATTCATTCGATATACATGTATACCAAACTTATACAAGAGGCAAAAAATGCCACGACGAGTTTGTCAGGAACATGCATTGTTTTTTTAAATGAATCACCATAAATGAGTCATCATGAGATTTGAATGAACGCATCAACTGTCAGCATCCAACAGTTTACTTCCAAATTCACTTGCATTGAAAAACGATAACTATTTTACAAATGAAAATCAATCAGTGTATAATCACACAGTCTGTTAAAACAGGTCGATTTCTGAATTGTCGATATAGCTCCTAAAAATCGTTCTCCGTTTACATATCTCTGCCGGTCATTCACATTGCTAATGGCAGCGAGAGTGAGCATTACTGATATCTATAGATATCTATAAGAGTGATGTCTATAATGTGGCGGTCTATAATTGTTTCCGTGCCGTGGCCGCGCGTAAGAAGTATTATAAGGATATCTTCGATGATGATGATGATGATGATGATGATGATGATGATGATTATGATGATGATAACCATTAACTGGTCGATTCCATTTATGGAATGACTTGTAGCTTGTACTGGATCTCTCTTCGTATGACCGACGATTCGTGTGGTCCTTAATCTTCTTTGTCCGGCCTTTATCTATTTCCTCATCGTCAGTGTTAAAATGACGTTTACGTTCTTCTCGTCTGTCATTATCAACATCGCGGACGATCTGTGTTCTATTGCCGTTCCAATTCATTACTGAAAATTGAAGAAAATATAATATACTTCTTGATTTTTCTACAAATAACTTTACTATAAATAACTTATACAGTGGAACTTCCATAACTTTTACTATGCAGGGAGAGATTAGAAAGATGTAAGAAATTAGAAAGATTCTCTCCATTCTTACATTAGGAGCGGAGTATTAAAAAGAAATAACATGTATTACATATAGTGAGAACATTTGCACAGATACAACACAACATAATTTATTTTAACACTGAAAATGTTTATATACAGGTACGTCACGTACATATATGGAAGAGGAAAAGAAGAAGTTACAGAGTACTAAAGTTAAGGAAGTTCTACTTCGTAATTAAATTTATGATAAAATCAGATATACAGATTACCTGAGGAACTGCCATATCCGCGATGTGACATTTTTAATAAATGTGAAACAGTGTCCGAATCATTGGTACCGTTAAAATTTCGCACAGCCGCGGCACTCGGTGTCGTATTACTTTGATTTGATTTAGTATCCTCTCTAGAACAAATATAGATATTTTTCCTGTCGCTTTATCATTATTACACAGAGTTATATTTCGTTAAAAAATTTACCTATTGTCAGTATATGACCATCCATTAGTAGACCCACTGAGAATACGAGTTGTATCCTTGACTTGCCAGTTTTTAACGTTGCTAGTTGTAGCCTTCGTAGATATGATTTCTTCTTGTCCATTTTTTCTGATAGTCTGGCGGCATTTATCTTTATCGCGCTGCTCAGACTGACCATTTGTTTCAATTTTTCCATTTTGATGTTTCAGCATATTTATCCGGCCGTTATTGTTGGATCCATTTTGCATTTTTGTACAATCTACAATTGTAACTTGCGTCGTCGCCATTGTTGATACGCCGACAGTATTGCTCTTGGAATTAGTTTTTTGCAACTCTTTAGAATTGGAGACTGTTTTTACATCTTTCGCAAGGCATTTTGGCACACCGTTCGTGATATTAATTCGAGATGCAGTATTTGATATTTGACTTTTTGAAGTCCCTGTCCCAGAGGAACAATCTTCTTCCTCACTGGAACCATCATAGGGCACTAAACTGTTTCCATTCAGAACCTTTCCGTTTTTAATGTGCACAACTAACCTTGGTTGCGATTTATCCTGCGTTTTCTGTGGCAATTGTGTACTAACAGATTCATTGGATTTTTGTACAGGAAGATTTAATTCTATATTTCTTTGTGGTGGGAGTTGCGGACCGATTAACGTTGGTTTACTTGTATTACCGAAGTCATTTGGTAATCCGCTTGATGATCCGTTTGCAAAACATCCAGCGGATATCAAGGCTTTGGATACAGAAGACTTATTTGTAGAATTGGAAAGCGAAGTCGGCATATTCTTTGCCGATGTTGTGCCATTCATTTTCGCGGTTTGTTGAGTTTGACTATCATTTTCCATTTCGAAAATCATAATATACGCATTTGTACTTAATACATTATTAAGGCTTATTGGACGAACGCAAGAATCGTCGAAGGAATAATATTGACCGCTCGATACTTGTGCAATCGCCGTATAGTGGCCACAGTTTACAGACGGGCCCATGTGCGTTACCATTGACATAAGTTTATAAGTTAACTGTTTGGGAGATTCGCCCGGTTCCCTCCACAAATATTGGCCCATATCTATAGTCTGTTTAAAACCGATGTGTCTAGATATTTTTCCTCCTAAATAGCTAAATCGTTTTAACTGTACACACAACACTTTTGGCGGACGTTCCAGAGTAAATTGTTTGGTAGCAGGAACTCTTCTCTTGCAGGCTTCACATTTATAGTCATTGTTATCCAATTGTTCTCTACTGAAGTAACTATTTAATGCTTCGTCCAGTGTATTCGCCTTGCGTATATCCACAAGCAAATCCTGTTAAAAATTCATAAATGTTTATAAATAGAAATGTACATGAAAATCATTTACTTTACAGTTATACAGCGATAACTTTATTATACTTGAAAGTGTTGAAACGTGGTAGAAACATGTTGACATTGCAGGCACTTTACTTCAGTACGTATATATCCACCAAATATTTGATTAATAGGTGTCGTTTCCTTAGAATAGTTATCCAACTTAGTTGCTTTATGCTTAGTCAAATACGCGCGTTCCATTCCTTCCAATAAATAGCGTAAAAATTCATGAGCATCTTCTTGTTGTCCAGGCACCATAGTTCGGCAAATGACTGCAGAAATAATGCTTATTACAGTATTTGTCTATGTATGCGTGATATATTTATTATTAGAGGCAAGTACGTACGCTTTAGTTTATTATACACATAAAACGGTTTGATTGCACCACCAGACTTTTGATGACTGAACTGCAGAGTCTTGGCTACTGCACATGTAAGGCATTCTCCACCGCCATCTAAAACTATCCTATTATCAAAATGCCATACAAAACCATGCTATTATAACTTTATATTATATTTTGTATTATACTTAGAAACGCGTACACGATGCATACAACAGAATAGCATAAGAACTTACTGTTTTGCTCACACTTGGAATTATGATGTGGATCAGACAGCAACCAATTGACGAGAGCTGGAACATGAAACAATGCCTGAAGAGTGCTGTTCAGATAACAAGTATTTCCAACGTTGTACATGCCAGCTCCGACTGGACACGTGCCTTTCCATCCAAGATGAATTTTTTTGGGAGAATACAGAGTGACACTTGGTTCTGGTAGAATCGGCCCTTTGTTCGTATCATTCTTCTTATAGATTGCGCCATCTTTCCCTTTGCTTCCCTCTAAATTTTCAGGAGACAAGTTGAGGAAGATGTTACAATTAGCTTGCACCTGACTTGTCACTTGGAAATTCTTCAATTCCTCATAACGAATTTCTGTTTGTATGATCCGTGAGGCATTGCTCACTAGCTCGATCGACAGATCATCTGTGCTCTTAGACGGACTGTTATTCAGAGCGCAGTGAAGCCTAGCTACAATAGGATCGCAGACGCTGACTGCAGGCATCTTTCTCACAGTTCAAAATTCCTTCCGTTAGTCTTTGTGAAGCAGTATACCTATAATAAAACATAGAATATGAGATAATATTTCAGATAACATTTTTATCATCTTGTGTACCATGTTGATTGCTCCTTAACCCTTTTGTCAATGTACAGGGTCTGGCAAAATGATCTCCCACATTTTGCACTGCCACTGATTAAAATGTGGGAGATCATTTTGTCGGACCCTGTATAATCTTTCATTTCTTTTCATTATTGTTTCACAAGACTTTTATTAAAAATGTAAAAATGAAAATTAAAGTTTGCAAAACAATTCTTCGTTGTTCAAAGGATAGAAATTTAAAGCATTCTAATAAAATTCACATAAAAATAAAAATTTCTTGTCTTTAATTCAAAATTGGTACTCGCGTACTAGTTTTTATTGACAAAAGATTTGATGAGATAGATATGAAAAGAATATTGTATGTGTGCGTGTGTGTATATTGCATACACGCGCGCGTACACACACACGCGCGCGCACCACACACACACACACACATGAAATAAGAAGCAACATGCAATTGCATCGTGCGAATAAAAATTTAAAAATTTCATGGGAGGATTGAGTGAGAGAGTTAATATCGAGATATATTTCGCTTACCAAGTAGCGAAGTAGATGTTCTAAGATACTAGATTGAGCTTACTCGTGTAACTGGTCGATTGAGGTTCGAACGGCAAGACACGCGGATTTGCGGGAAGTAATACCTTTGACGATTGTTTACCTGCTTGTAGATGTAGAGCGATCCCTAGGCGGTATATTTCCAAAATGAGCACGACGACCATCTGGCGTGGAGCTCCTTCGGACTTTGGTTTCTTGCACACGGAATCGCGCGGCTATCGGCTTACCATACGCAATATCGTGCGGTGTCGTGAGTTCGAGCTCTAACTCGGTCTCGACACGACTACCGGAGAGGAATTGCTCGCCGATGTCGGAGGTAATGCACACACACATGTGCACACCACGAGCGCGCGCGCGCGTATTTCTTTCTCTCTCTCTCTCTCTCTCTCGTTTTCTCACCCGTCACGAGCAATTTCCCGCGTGCACGCGTACGTAACAAATTAATGTCCAATGTAAGAAGACACGTTCACACCACCGCGCGCAAGCAACACCAACTTGATATCCGACGACCGACGCCGGTCATCACATATCGATCGCGCACGACAATTTCGCGGTACACTCGAGCGTCAGACACGCGGGAACGACAGACAAGTACGGATACATTACTATGACAGCCATTTGCATTCGTTGCTATCTTCGCGGGACGGCTTCCTGCGAGCGCTTCGTTAGCACGCGGGAAAATCAGACGTCGCGCAAGATGGTTCCGGCCGGCTTTACGATGGCTAACGGACAAGAGGACACGAGTGCCGGGTGAGGAGAAGGGAGGGCCAACATTGCTATAAGGGCTGCCGCACACAAAATTCCGCAACAGTGGCCTAGTTTCCACCGAGGGTTTAATTCGGATCAGAATGTAAGAACCAACCAACTACAGTCGAGCATTCTCTTGTTATTCGACTGTAACAGGGGAATGCTCCAATGATGCGCTGTCATGGGAATTATTCCCACACGGGAATGTTCGTGCGCATGCGCAAACTGCCGTCACAGTTTTGTATTGGCTACTTTCGCATTGTATCGGCGATACGCATGCGCATAAACATTCGTATGGGAATAATTCCCATGATACTCTATTGTAGTTGATTGGTTCTTACATTTTGATCCGGTTTAAACTCTCGATGGAAACTAGGTCACCGTATAGGTAAATTTTCATGAGCTGCTCAAACCGGCTATTTAGCGACAAAAAGGATCAAGTGATCAAAATTGACAAATATCCACGTGATCCTTTTTGTCACTGAAACTGCCGGTTAAAGCAGTTCATGCAAATTTATCTTTAAGGCTATTCTATATTGGTCGTAGCGTCGGAAGCGTTGTAAGAATCTGAGTACAAGAATTGTCGTAACACTTACTTACTTAGACTTAAATTGTAGACGTAAGCGTATACTTACGTCTACAATTTAAGTCTCTAAGCAAGTGTCACGACAATTCTTGTGCTCAGACCCGTAGGTAACGCACAAGCTTTAGCGTATGACGTACGATTTATTGTCGTCTCTTGGAGACATGCAATAAGTTGTACGTCATACGTGAAAGCTTGTGCGTTAGTTCGGATCTACAATAGGTCTTTTAAGTTTTAAGCCATAAAAAATTGATCAACTGCAATCGAATGCGAGAAGAATAAGTGATTGTGATTTGTCCATTTCTTATGATTTATTTCTTAAAATCTATTGTAGTTCTGGAATTACTTATGTCTACAATTTAAGTCTAAAGGTTAAATCATACGGTGCGGGAAATGATTGCGGAATAGAGAATGCGTCATTAAAACAACCAATCAACATTATTCTACGTTATTCGGAAGCGCTAATTGGTTGTTTCAATGACGCATTCTCTATTCCGCAATCCTTTTCCGCACCATGTGATTGCACCCAAGTAAGTATTACAACAATTTTTGTGCTCAGACCCTAAGCATTGATATATACTGGATTCACACTAGATCCGATGTGCGTCGTACAATGTTTTGCAACCAGAAAGCAGAATTTTATTTTGTATCGATGATATGAAGCAAAATTCTGTTTTCTTTGCAGAACGTCGTATCAGACTCACATTGGATCCAGTGTGAATCTAGCAATATAATATTGAGGCGCGTTCAGGTTCTCACCTGAATGCGTTCCAGACATTATGTTATCTTTGTTTCACATTCAGTGAGCAACAAGAATAAAAAGACATCTGGATGATACATAATCTGGAGTCCTATTCTTGAAAAGTACCGCATAGGAAAAACTAGGGAAATATTGTTTGTGTTACACATATTGTAACATTTCCCTGGTTTTTCGTATGCGATACTTTTCAGGAATAAGGACCCTGAACTCGGGTGGGAATTTGAACACAGCCTTGGAACATTAAGGGTGAAATCATGCGGTTCGTAATAGGGTTGCGTAATACAGAATGTGTCATTGAAGCAATCAATCAGCGCTATTTCATTTAATGTTGCGGAATAGCGAATGTGTCATTGTTCTTGTAATAAACCGTCATATTTTGAGAGACTAAAATTATTTGATGCTGAATGACATGATGGAATTGCGTAATGTCGAGATGAATGAAGCAAAATGACAAAATCTGAGCATAAATATAGATACCAAAAAAACAATGATGCATTACGTACGATTTCAGTCCCCTTTTCCGTTACGCCAGTTTTATGTGTTATGTTCACGATGCGGAAAAGTGGTAGTAAATGCGTTAAACAATTCAAAAAATTGTTATGAAATTGTAAATATTAATTGTAAAACATTAAATACACCAGTGAAAATTGTTTTTACAATTTGAAAAATTATATTTCATTTTAATAAGCAAATTATTAACATGAAGTTAATAGTTTTTAAATTATATTCATGCTGGATACATCTTTGACGCATCATGTGAACATAGCACATAAAATTTACGTGATGGAAAAATGCGGAATAGTGCAGAAGAACGCTTGATTGCTTCTATGATGCATTTTCTATTCCGCAGTCGTTTTCCGCATCGTGTGATTTTATCCTAAGACTACTACAATAAATATTGGGTCATCTAAAAAGTATCCGCGGTTTTTTGTCACTAGATGTGTGTTGATGGTCATATATCTAGTGACAAAGTACCGCGGATACTTTTTAGATGACCCAATACAATATAAATACAATAATAGGCACAGACAATAGGGAATAACATCCAATCAGAGCTCTGATATATAATGCCTACGGCATACTGAACGTGATCGATGAGCGATGAACGACGAGCGATATAAAAGCTGTGCTTTTTCTCACGTAACGACACAAAGCAAAGCTCTTATTGGATATCGCTCGTCGTTCTTATCGTGATCCAGTGTGCAGAAGGCATAAGTTCAATATTACATCCCAGAGCTCTGATTAGAAGATTCGTTATTTCTTGTTACCTGTGCTTAGAATCCCTATAACAGAGTCTGGACATTGTATTCGCGCGCATGTCCGTCCGCCATTAACAGCCAAAATCGGAAATGTATCGCCGTGTTTGTTGCGCAATTCAAATGACTGCTTGCTGTTATACGCGACAATAGAATTTAAACTATTTATTTAAATGAGCCAAGATGAAAGATAGAAGGTTCGTTCGCGTCGCACATTCCAACATGCCCAATACGCTCCAATACGTTCGCGTCATCGGAACCAATATGGCGACTAGATGTTCACGTCGCATTAGAGTATACTCCATGGATTAATTAAGAGTACGCTTCATTTGCTCCACCTCAGAAGTAGAAAGCCTACAATCAGAGTGATGCCACGGGTATCACTTGTGATTGGTCCGCCATGTTTTAGCCATTTCCTCCAGTTTTTTAAACGCATTATTTTCTAAATTTTGAATTCATGCTAAAAAATGCTCAAAAATTGTGACAAATTAAAAAATGATAATAAATAAATATTGTATTATATATAAAATAATAATATATATTAGATCATTTAAAAAATATCCGCGGTTTTTTGTTCAATTTTTGAATGAAAAAATCGCGGATACTTTTTAAATGACCCAATATAATGCTATTACTTTATACAAAACGTTATTTATTGCACATTATTTATGCTATTAAATGCGCTAGTTATCCATTTACTGTTCCCACATTTTAGAAGCAAAATGCATCTGTAATAATATAAAAGAAATCAAAAATTCAGAAAAATATTATATATGTATATACCATTATATTATGCATATACCATTTTATAAAATATTATATATTAAATATTGTAATTATCATATTATTTAATTTAGATTCGCAATGCAATGATATATAATTGAAAAGATTACGATAAAAAGAGAAAGAATTAAATTCGTAACCAATGTGATGACTGTACATATACTTAATGCCAAGACACTACCGTGTCTTCAGATATTATAATTAATCTGTATATTTTATGTTACATTTTTATTTTAATATTTGAAATA